TTTTTAAACTTCTTTGAGGTTCCATCTCACTCCAGTTAGAATGATTATTAACAAGAAAACATGATATCAAATGCCAGCAAGGGTGTGAGGGAAAGAGAAGCCCTACTTATTCCTAGCGGTGATGTGAACTTGTGCAGCTGTGATAAAATCAGTGTGGAGGCCTCACAAAACTAAAAACAGAAATCCCATGACCTAAATATACCACCCTGTGTTTAAACCCAAAGAACTCTGAATCTCACCGCAGGGATTCTTGCACACCTATGTTTATTGCTGCCGTATTCATAACAGCTAAGAAAAACAACCTAGACAGCCATCAGCTCATGAATGGACAAGGAAAGGGTGGCGCCTACAACAATGGAACTTAATTCAGCCATAAAGAAAAAGGAGACTCGCATTAAAATGTATGGAACCCAAAATCAGTATATTAAGTGAGATAATCCAGGTTCGGAATGACAAATACCGCATGATCTCCAAAATGCAAGTCCTGGTTTCTAATTTTTATGTATGCATTCATGTGGGAGCACGTGTAGAGCCCAGGAAACTAGGAAGGGAGCCACGAGAAGGGAGGGAAGATTGTTTGGTGAGGCAGGCAGTAGAACTCACAGGACACACAAGCAGAAGGAGACTTCTATGGCTAGCTCCACCCTCTGATTTTCAGGCAAGCTTTAGAGTACAAACAAGATACCACCAGGCACACTACCTCCCTGTGAGCTGTTGATCAGGAAGCCCCCGTAAGCAATGTAAGCAATTACCACCTCTGTGGTGCCCACCAGAGCTGAGACCCTATAGCTGGAGGCATCAGGTGCTTAATCTACACGCACACATCAATGCTGCCCTCAGTTTTGCTCAGAGAAGCTTCCCTGTGCCCCACCTCCACCACCTTGGTCAGGAATGACTACGGAGACTTGGAATAAATGACTGCTGAATGACAGCCACAAGTGGGAAATCTATACTACCCCCTCCAAGGCTCAGGGAATATTTCAGAAACAGTGGTAGAAATAACATTAAGAACGGGGGGGAGGGTGCAATGCTGAGTTTCAAGCATGGCATAGCTGTGGCACTCTTGAACTCACGGTACCTGTGATGACCTGCACCACAGCTACACAAAATTGAGCCAGTTATCTTGTCATGGAAGGGAGGGCACCCATGAGCCCCACTCCTCTCTCAGGATTTCCACAGAATTAATGGGGGAAGCACTTTCTTTAGTAGTGTAGCCACTAGTAAGGCGCCATCTATAAATAAACTGTCATGATGCTCACTGCCCCCCCACGCTAAAAGCATGACAGTGTGGGATGGAACTAATTAGAAAGGGGAAGGGGGCTAGAGGAAGGAGTATGGAGGGGACAAGAGAGGGGTGCAGGGCGGGGGGACTGAATATGATTCAAACACTTTCTGGAAGCTGAACTCATCCTTCAGACTGTGAGTCTAGCCTTTAATGGCTAAGCCAACTCTTCAGCCCTGAAATAACATTTTGTACATGTATGAAAATGTCATGGACATAACAAATTATGTATAGTTAATATACACTAATAAAAACACTTCGTAAAGAATGAGGTAGAAAGCTGTCCTGGATCTTTTGATGGAATATATTAGAAAAAAAAAAGCATTCTACAGCAGCCCTTACAAAACTACACAACCTCTATCTACCAGAAACACCAGACAGCCAAAACTGAGGGATGTTGTACATGACTGACTGTCAAATGACAATATCTTGAAAAAAAAAAAAAAACAACAACAACAACTAAGGAACGAGTCAAAACAACGTGAGGCGTACGTGGCCAGGTGTGGCAATACATGCCTATAATCCCAGAACTCAAGAGGCAGAAGCAGAAGGATAACAAGTTAAAACCGGCCTGCGCTACATAACAGAACCTTCAACCCTTAAAAGGTTGGAGAGGGTTGGAGAAAGGGCTCAGGGTTTAAGAGTACTGGCTGCTCTTCCAGAGGACCAAGGTTCAATTTCCAACACCCACATGGCAGCTCAAGACTGTTACTCCAGTTCTAGGGGCTCCAACACCTATACACAGGCAAAACACCAATGCATATAATATAAAATAAAATAAAGTAAAAAGATGACCATCAAATGCAACACATGTCACAATGGTAGGCAGGGTTAGCCTCCAAGAAAGACAAGAAATTAAAGTGTTCGCAAGTCCAGCAATTTTTCTGACTTTAGTAACTGGTCCATGATTACATAAGTCCTTGCTCTCAGAAAGCAGACATTGAAACATGTAAGAAGATGGTGCCTGCAACCTTCTTTTAAACAGCTCAGGAAAGTAATAACATATACAGGGATACAGAATGCTACAACAAATGTTAAAAGCTGCTGGAACTAAAAAAAGTCCATATTGGATTGTGTTCTCTCCCGGTTTTCAGTAGACTTGGAATTACTTCAAAATTGGATTAACTCGCCGGGCGTTGGTGGCGCACGCCTTTAATCCCAGCACTCGGGAGGCAGAGGCAGGCGGATCTCTGTGAGTTCGAGGCCAGCCTGGTCTACAAAGTGAGTTCCAGGACAGCCTCCAAAGCCACAGAGAAACCCTGTCTCGAAGAAAAAAGAAAAAAATTGGTTTAACTCTGCAAAACTACTTTACGCGTTGTCTGAGATGTGAAACTGGAGTTTTCTCTTAAATAGCTGAAACCTCATTTTTGCGTCGCATAGACACCTTCGTCTGCTACTGTCTTGGCTCCAGCATACTTGTGTACACTCAGTGGGTCTCAGGGTTTACCAGACTTGAGGTCACCGGAAGAAATATATTTACCATAAAACACAATATGGTGGTTCACACCTAGAATCCTAACACTTAGGAGGCTAAGGCAGGAGGATTTCTCCAAGTAGAGTATAGGCTAAGGAGTTCCAGGCAAGCCTGGGTCGTGCAATGAGAAGATGAAGAGAGAGAAAGGGAGGAACAGAGAGAGAAAGACAGAAACAGAGAGCCAGACAGAGAGAGGACATGCAAACAGACAAGACCGGAACATAGGGTGCAATTCAGTGGTAGAGGCATCCCTTCCCAAAGTCCCTGGACTCAAAATTCACCACCACCAAAGCACAAAACCAAAATACCCTGTTCATTTCATCAGCAGCACCCACTGTGATTTCCCAAGTCTATTCTATTCCTCAATCCCTGCTATCTTTAGCTGCATCTTACATTTTGTTCTATTCTGAGGCAAAACTCAGTCCAAAATGATTGAGCTCTCTAAGAATACAAGAATTGCTAATACATGGAAGCTGGTAAATTTAGGCTATGCAGTCTTCCTTCTGCTCACACACTGGGCACTAGGGACTCACAATAACCACAGGAAACCCCCAGGCTTCCCTGTCACTGTGTTCAAAGCCTATGACAGCCTGCAGCACAGCTTTGGGCCATGATGATCTACTGAAGGTGAAGGAAACATTAATCATTCACTCGGAAAGGTCAAAACCAAGCACATTTTAGATATTTATAGCAAGAACAATGAGCGGGATCTCAGCTTACTAATGTGACAAACTGGGGGGGGGGGATCTTCTTACTGCTACCACTATGCAATGCTTTATATTTCAGCAGTTTGGGCAGCACAAAGACAAAAACCTCGCATGCAGACATTAAAAGAACCTTTTACATATTGTCTTCATTCCTGATGCTAGCAGGCTGAAGAGAGTGTCAGACGCAAGATGAGACTGTGCGGGGTGGGGTGGGGGCCAATGGGGAGCGGGCTGTAATAGAACACTCATTTGAGCTTGTGTGTGGGGAAGCAACTTCTCAAACACACAGCCACAAAACTTCTCTATAATGTGTATTTCCAAAAGAAAAATTAGCACAAATAAAAACGTGTTTTCCATCCTGTAACCACTGCGGGCCCCTGAGCAACTAAAGGAAACACATATCAGTAGGCGATGGACTGTAGCAAATTAGAAGGCACCCCCACAGGGTTGTCAAGGAAACCAAACCAAGTATATTTCTCTACAAAAAAAGAAGGTGAACATGCCAAAGCGTATTTGGTAACAAAGGACTACCATCCCCCGGAAAATGATTTAAAGGGCTAAATTTATTTGCAAGGTATTTATGAAGGACTTTGTCAGCAAAGGCGGTGGGTATTCCTAAACTGCCACCTTCCTCAAAGCAGCTGAACCTGGGCCACTGACAGCCCAAAACATTTCCTAGGTCTTTTCTGAACAATTAACATTATCAAAAAAGACCTATCCTCCCCAACCCATAAAGAGGGAGAAGATAATCTCCAAATTTAGACTTTTTTTTTTCAAAATGGAAGTCTTTTTTCAGTGCACTGGTGTGTGTGAGTGTGTGTGTGTGTGTGTTAAGAGCAAAGACTAAGTGTGTGCAAACCAAAGCAGGAGCTGAGCTTGGCTGTGCCATTTCAGAGTGGAAAAGAGCAGAGTGGGAAGGAGGACAGGGTGTCAAGTGGGCAGGGCACGTGTAAACATCTCCACGAGTAGAAACCAGCAGGCAAAGGTGACAGGCTCCTGAAAGCGCAGGATGAGGACCTGTGACAAGCAGCGGGGGGTGGGGGTGAAAGCATCTGCAGCAGCATCCCGCGCCCGCCCGGGGACCCCGCAGCCCCATCCCCTCACCCCCGCCCCGTCGTCTCAGAGCCCCATGCCTCAGCTCTCTATGCCCTGGAATTGAGCCCCGTCTCCTAAGTCCCCCACACCCCAGACTGAGCCCTACCCTGCAAACTCCCCATGCCCTCTGACCAAGCGCCGTCCCGGAGGACCCCCATCCCTCCGCGATCCTCTCGCCGTCTGACACGCGGGGGGAAAGGCTTCGGGACGCCCAGCGAAGCGTGGCTGGGCGCGATGGGGCGCGGCTCTTACCCGGTGCCGCAGTCAACCACGCAGGGAGGCAGCGAGCCCGCCATGCTCGGCCACGAGGCGCTCGGTCCCCGCCTGCCCCAGTCTGCGCCCGGCCGCCTAGTGCCCCGAGGCCGGTTCGCCGCCGGCGCCGCTCCTCCCCTCGCAGCCGCCGGGAGCCCCGAGGAGCCTCCGTCGTGTGACATCACTCTAGAGTTAGCCAATCGGAGACGCGCACGCTCCGCCCCCTCGTCAGCCATCCTTAGTGCTGGCGGCGAGGCGTTTTTTAGCCTACGCATCCGTCCAGTTGAAGCTTTTGGAGTTTATTTTTAGCTGGCATAAGGTGAATATGACCCTGAATATTCTTTCTGTTCTGTTTTGTTTTTCATGTTGCAATTGTTTAAAGATTTAATTTTAGTGTGTGTCTCTCTGTCTGCTTGTTGATCTGTGTATGTGAGTGCAGGTACTCTTGGAGGCCAGAGGTTTGGGATCGCCTAGAGCTGGAGATACAGGCAGCTGTGAGCTTCCTGATGCGGGTAGTAGGACCGTGGGTACCCTGGAAGAGCAGCGAGTACTGTTGATCGCTGAGCCATCTCTCCAACCCGTCTTTCTCTTCTCCTAATTCTCACTTCAAATGTTCACTTCACTGTCTAAACCCAACAATCTCTCCCTCGATTTTGTCCCTAACACGTAAAGCTGGTTCGGGTAATAATTTATTTGTAGTTGTTCACCTCTATTGAACTGTAGGTTCTCATAGGGTGGGGCCTCGTGCTTAACACATTGATGCTCAGATAGAAGTCATCGTGGATGTTGAATGAATAACCTTCACTGTAGGAGAAAAAAAGTTCTTTTGACTGTCTATCTGATGGAGCATTGCATAATTTCTCCTGGAGGAAAATCAACAGATGTGCAGCTAGTCTTAAGGAATAAATGGCCTTAGTCAACACCATACCAACATTATTACTAGGAAATATTTTTCTGATATCAAAGATAGGATGGTTTTCCAACACCATTGTGGAAACCAGAGACTAAAGAAGAAAAACACCTGCCTACAGTGTGCTAAAGGTACCAGAAGTCGCATTGCACCCAACTCCTTACCCTCTAAAGGATGCCTGTGAACTCTAGAGACATACTGATTCAGGTGGTCTTTACTGGGATTTAAATCACTGTACTTTTTCCATAGGAGAACTAGATTATGTAGCTCATTATCTTTTTTTTCCGGCATACAGGGGAGCAAATAAATCCTAGACCTAGAAAATATTCAGGGTTGCTAGAGAGACATGGAACAAAGGTTAAGAGTACAGAAGATCCCACATGGGACCAGAAACAGAGACAAGACTGTCTTTCCTTCTGTGTGTGTTACCAATGCCCTGTCCAACTCTGCTTGCTTGCTTGCTTGCTTGCTTGGTTTTGAAACCTGGGCCAAAGCAGCAAAGTCCCTATTACAGGTTAGTGGCACTGGCGTATTTTTAGTGTCATTTACCTGATGTCCATTTATTATATTGCTTTAACAGTGTGATTGATGGTTAATATTGATTGACAACTTGACAGGACCTAGAACACCTAGTAACGAACCTCTGGGCATGTCTGTGAAGAAGTTTCTATGCTGTGTTATTTGAGGTGAGAAGACTCGTCCTAAATATGGTTGGGATCCCAGAAGAAGGCCAGCCAAGCACTAACATTCATCTCTCTTTGCTTCCAGACTGCAGACACGGTTGACCAGATGCCTCACACACTGCTGTGACCATGACAAGGGTGTCATGTCCAAACTGTGAGCAAAATAAACTTTCTTTGATGCTGCCTTTGTCATAGCAAGAGAAAGCAACTAAGACACACAGTAAATAAGACGTTCACAGTATCTGGTCCCAGAGTGCAGCGAGAAGTAGCACCAGTGGTCGGGGAATTCTAATACAAATGCTAGAGGCAGGAAGTGCAAGGTGCCCAGAGAGCCATTAGGGAACCCCTGACCCTGACTTCTCCCAAAGCCATGGAGTGTAAGCAGAGAGAGAGAGTAGGTAGAAGGGGATAGGAATGTGTGTATTTCTGGGAGAGGAAACTTAGCACGACCAGGACAACCCCCAGAACCCAGATGTTGCCTTGTTCACTTCACCAGGAAGAAGCTGTTACAGAAACTTGGCCTTGCCAGTAACAGAGAGCGTGCCTCTCCTTGGCCTGTCCCCATGGCCTAGGACTTACTGGGAAATGACCGCCACTCAGTCACGATAGGAGAAAGACACTTCTGACTTCAGCCATTTCCTCTAGACACCACCAAGAGGATGGAACATTCAAGACCATCCTGGGATACAGAGTTAGGCCCTGTCCCAAACAAACAATCAGAAAGGGAAAAAAAATGTTGTGGGCAGCCAGCAGAACACAAACGTAACTAGACTCCCTAAAATGAGCAAATTGTGCTATCTCATTTTGTAGCTCAGCTCAGACAGCTCAGCACTTCCATCAGGAGCCTCTCTGTTCTGTCCCAGCAAGCCCTGAACGGTGCCCTTGGCCCTCAGACTTAACCTCTCCACTTTCAACATGGCTGCAGAAGTTCCTTGCTGCAGAACTATAATGATAAATTCCCTCTGCGGGGGAGAGGGAGGAAACTGAAGAAGCAGTGTCACCCGCTTCTTTCGATTTTGTCCCCTGAGCAATGCCTTTTTCCTAGTGGATGGGTCACGAGAAATCACCACAAATAGAGTGACCTAATCAATATGCTTTCACCATTCAAGAGGCAGGCCCAGAGGCCAATATCGAGGTGTAGATGGGGCTGTGTTCTCTAAAGACTGGAGGGAGGTCTGCTCTGTGTCTTTTACCCACATCCAGGAGTTGTTGGCTACTCTTGGGTTCCTTGGCTTGCATGTGTATCACTCTCATCTCTGACTGTATTGTCAAGCATCTGTGTTTATCCGTTTTCTGTGGGATTTTCTCTCTCTCTCCATCCCTCCCTCCCACCTCCCTGGATATGAGTATGTAGGTGTTCATGCGTGTGTGTGTGTGTGTGTGTGTGTGTGTGTGTGTGTGTGTGTGTGTGTAGCGGACGTGGATCAACCTTAGGCATCATTCCTCAGGCACCTCCACATTTTTTTGAGACAGCGTCTCTCACTGGCCTGGAACTCCTCTAGTAGGCTACGCTGACTGGCCAATGAGCCCCAAGAATCTACCAGTCGTCACCTCCGCACGCTGATACTACACATGCACAGCATACTTGAATCATTCTCGTGGGTTCTAGGAATCAAACTCAAGTCCTTGTGCTTGCACAGCAAGTACATTGCTCACCCAGCCATCTCCCCAGCCCCTGATGTTCTCTCCTTCTGAGGAAGCCAGTATGTTGAATTCATTACTTCACATAGGCAAATATGTTACAAATAAGATCATATTTACAGATACCAAAGGTTAAGACTTCAACGTGTCCTTTTAGGAGATGCTGATCAACCCATTAACACCAGCTATGCCAGAAGTAGTCATCAGTGCTGTGTTAACTGTTAAAGATAACCCCTCTATCTGGAGATTAGCCTCATGACCTTTGAAGCCTATGGTAGCCAATACCTGCCTATAATGTCCTTCGATTTACAGGAAAGGGGGGTTGCTGTTTCATAAGACACACTATGTCAGGGTACATAGGAAAGCAGCTGCGTGTAAGTGAAGAAGATCCCCGATCAGGACCCAAACACACTAGCATCCGGTTCTCAGAGTTCGACCCTCTAGAATTGTAAGAAAATAAAGTTCTGTTTTCTCAAGCCAGAGTATTGTGTCATGGCAGCCTGAGCAAACTAAAGTGATGCTCAGAGCATCCTCCTGCCTTCCTTAGAAGCTCATATGATTCAGGTACCAATTGCCTCTACTTTGACCATGCCTAGGACAAAACACCCACAGAGGTACAAATCTCACATTCCATAAAAAGTAAAGCACAGTCTTTGATAATTATATTACCAAGCAAGTATGTACTCTTCAATACAGGTAAAACTCTAGCTATTAAATGCATATTAACCTTGGGTGCATTTCCCTATGAGTTCTTGGCCTGCCTCTCTCATTTGTAGCCTGAATTCAACTGGTAGCGAAAGAATTGTTTGAAGGAGCTTTCATCTGCAGGAAAGGCATCTCCATTTGGGCTTCCCTGGCAATGGCTTCACACTGAAAAGGGAGCAGCTCCTATATAGAATGGTGCTGTAGATGTTACATCTCCCATCCCGAGTTCTGAAGCAGCCCAGCACCAGTCTCTAAAATGAACCGTTGATAAACATCTTTCGATGATGCATATTTATATGCATATGAAGACAGCAAGAACAAAATAATCAGGTCTTAGAGCTTGTCTAACTCATGGAACTTACTGAATAGTGCAGTCTTACTTCCTGTGTTTAACTAGTTGCGTAGGGCCAAGAAAGAAAAAGAACACAAAAAGTAAAGGCTCTCTTCAGAAACTGCCCACCCAGCAGCTCTATAAACCTTCAATCTCAGGGCCGTAGGCAGGAACGAGCTGGGTGTTCTCTGTTGCCATGAGGATGCCAAAAGAGAAAAGAGGACCAAAAAATCAGAACCCAGTTCCTTTGAAAGTATCTGGCATTCTCCTTTAAGAGGAAGGGCTGTCACTCCTCTCAATGGACCTCCCTGCTGTCTTGGCAACAACAGGAGAAAACGATCCAAGCAGGAATCGACTGGCTAAGTGTTCAGAGTGTCTTAGAGGGTTGATAACAGAGTCTCAAGACTTCGGGAAGTGATCTAGAGAACTGGGCATGTTCACAGCTCTGCGTTGTTTCTGTCTCCATTCTGGACAGCTACTCACACTGAAGTCTGGTCCTCCACACCCCCTTCTGACCTCTCTCTTCCTAAGCTGCCCAGCTGCAAAGTCTTGCTCATTCAGGCCACCCGCCACTTTCTTCTCATCTATACTTGTTGTTTCTTCCTCCTCTTCTTTCACTGAAGAAGGGTCTCTTGTAACCCAGGCTAGCTAGAACCGAACCCGGTATGTGTCAGATGGATGTCCTTGAGCTCCTTACCCTCCTGCCTCCACATTCCAAGTGCTGAGATTACAGGAGTGCCTGGTTTAAGCAGCACCAGGAATCAAAACCTGGGTCTTGTGCATGCTAGGCAAGAACTCTCTTGAGCTATACCCCAGCCCTAGCCCTTGCTTCTTATCCGTACTGTCATTCTTGCTGTCTCCAGACTTCTGCCTCCCTAAGATGTTTCAGATACATTGAACTGCCGTGACAGACATCATTACCAAACAGAAATCTCACATAACGGGATAGTTTTCCCGTCCCCATACTTTCTGTGATACACTATTATTACAGAATTTGGTCCAAACCAGAGGTGTGGCATTCCTGGTCTTGTGATCTGCTACTAAGTTACCATCCTACTCTCACCTCATATCATGTACCCTGGACACACCTGTATAGACCAAACCGCATTCTGCTTTCCAAACCCTCTAAATTGTCATGCAACCCCACCCCCAGTCTAGAACCTTCTTCACCTACCTCGTCCTGTTTGTTCTTCAAGACTGTTCAAAGCTCACTCACTCTTCCAATTTTAATTCACTTCCACTCTGTATTCATTCCACAAAAGACTCTGAGTGCTTACTCATACCTCTCCTCAGCAACAGTTGCTAAGCCTATACCTGCGTTCAGCATCCAGAGGTGAAATCTGAGGTCTGCATCTCAATAAGATGCTCTGCAATACCAAACCGCGCCTCTGTTCCCTACCCGGTTCATGAGGAGAGTCATGTTACGATATCTTCATTTATAGTACATGTCACCTTGAATCTTTAGAACATTCCCACAAGATACATATTACAAATAGCCTTTTAATCAAATAAGAATACCAGGCACATATTTTTAACATTAGCATAGATTAAATTTTTATTTCCTTCTGAGTACCTTAATTCTGCTCCCTAAAGAAAACAGGAAAGCACTGAATCCTCATGGAAATCAGTATCTGGTAGACACAGGGATGAAGTATGTTAGGGCCAGAAACAACACTCAGCCTGAAGAGTGGCCCTAGCCCCTCTGTGATTTCAGATGCATTTTCTTACTCTCTAGCTCTTTAATGTTTTCTATTTCCAGTAACAAATGCCTATGAGGCAATGCCTGCATGCTCTACACTAAGTAGTATCCAACCGAAAAATCATTTTGCCAATATGGAATGAAACTGCTGAATGGCGTAATTGGGCTCCGAGCAATTTGGACAGTGTGTGCTGCCAACGGCTAGGACCTGTGTTTCTTGCCATTGCTCAGTCACACAAGCAACAGGTTTGGATGAGTAGGCAGCCTAGGACTCACTCTCTTCTTTCCTTCCTCCTTCCTCCTTCCTTCCTCCCTTCCTTCCTCCCTCTTTCCTCCTCCTTCCTTCCTCCCTTCCTTCCTCCTTCCTTCCTCCTCCCTCCCTTCCTTCCTCCTTCCTTCCTTCCTCCTTCCTTCCTCCTCCCTCCTTCCTTCTTCCTTCTTCCTTCCTTTCTTCCTTCCTTCCTCCTTCCTTCCTCCCTTCCTTCCTTCCTCCCTCCTTCCTCCTCCTTCCTTCCTCCTCCTTCCTTCCTTCCTCCTTCCTTCCTTCCTCCTTCCTTCCTCCTCCCTCCTTCCTTCTTCCTCCCTCCTTCCTTTCTTCCTTCCTTCCTTTCTTTCTTTTCTGTTTTGTTTGTCTCACCATATAGTTCTGACTCACCTGGAACTAGGTATATAGCAGGGGGAGGAGCTTAAACTTAAAGTTGTCCTCCTGCCTCTTCCTCTCAAGTGCTTAGACTGTAGATATGTGACACCACACCCACTTTTTTTCTCTTCCAGTATAAAGAAGTTAGGTAGAGTTTATTGTGAGGAAAGGTGGAGTCACTCTCAAAAGGGAGGCTGGACAATGGGCAAAGACCATTGTAGAGGCAAACCCTCTCGTGAGGTGAGAGTAGACAGTGGCCAGAGAGAGCATTCTGCCTCCCCTCCTTGCTGGTGCTCATTCTAGAATGTTTTCAGAAGCACAGAGGCTGGGGAGATGGCTCAGTGGGTAAAGCATTTGTTGCACAGTCGTGAGGACCTGAGTTTGGATCCCCAGAATCAACATAAAAAGTCAGAATCGGGGTGTATTCTGCAATCTCAGTACTGGGGAGGTCTGACAAAAGGATCCTAGGGGCCTCCTGAGTGCTGGCATTAAAGATGTGTACACACCGGGCTTACAAGACATTCTTAAATCTACAGATTCCATGCTGTGACAAATCACTAGTGCCTTAGGCTTGGATTAAAGACTCCACCACAACTATCTTGGTTTTTTGTTTGTTTTACTTGGTTTTTTTGACAGGGTTTCCCTGTGTTGTCCAGACTGGTCTTGAACTGTAACCCCAGCTTGCCATTTGGTGTGTGTGTGTGTGTGTGTGTGTGTGTGTGTGTGTGTGTGTGCTTATAAGCTCGTGTGTACATGTGTGCTCAAAGCCTGTTTGTTGCAAAGCATTATCACAAGTTGTGAGGACCATAGTTCATATTCCCATAACCCATGCATGGTGTTCTGAATGAGAATAGTCTCCATAGGCTCACATATTTGACTGCTTAGTCACCAATTAGTGAAACTATTTGGGAAGGATTAAGGGGTGTAGCATATGTCATGGGGGGGGCAGGCTTTGAGGTTTTAAAAGGTCCACACAAGGCCTGATCTCCATCCCTCTCTCTTCTCACCCCTTCCCTCTCCTCCTTCCTCCCCGTCTCCTCCCACTCTGCTTGGATCAGGATGTGAAAGCTCTCAGCTACTGCTCCAGCACCATGCCTGTCTGCTTCCCACAATGGCGATCATGGACTAACCCTCTAAAACTGTAGGCAAGACCCCAACTGAATGGGTCCTTTTAAAAGAGTTTGCCTTGGTCATGGTGTTCCTTCACAACAACAGAACAGTAGCTAAGACACCACATAAAGACGGGGGAAGTGGCGCGCATGTCCCAACAGGCTTATGTGAAGATGGAAGCTCACACGCCTCGGGCCAGCTAAACTGCCATGCATAGTAGTAAAAGACCCTGCCTCGAAACAAGGGAGAAGGTGAGGACCAGCACCTCAAGGTGGCCTCTGACCTGTGCTCTGTGATACAACAACACTCACACACACACACACACACTCATGCACACACACTCACGAACGCACACACGCACATACACACACACACGCACACGCACACACTTGTTTAGGGAAGCATGGAATGTGAAGGTATTGTGTAGGGGTTTTAAGATTAACTTGAGCACCATTCCATGAACCTCCCCCACAATAAAAAAAAAAACTGGCCTTTCCCCACATCCCCTTTGTTACCAGAAATGAGGACAGGGACTGTGTCTTCTCTTCTGTCACAGTCTGATCTCTGTTACTAAAATAAAATGACTGGAACTGGGTCCTTCATAAAGACAAGAAGCAGATTTAGCTCACAGTTATGGTGGTTCAAGGGCGTGGCCCCAGCATCCCCTAGGCTCCTCTGAGAGCCTTGTGGCAGATGGTGTCCCTGCAGTGAAGGGGCACGAGGAAGCAATGAGTGTTACATGTGGAGAGGGAGTCGTGGGGGCACAACGCTTTCTCAATGGCCTACAGCCCTGCGGGTCTTCCATCTATTCAGGAGGGCAGTGTCCCATGACATCACAGTCTCCCATTAAGTCTCACACCTTAAAGAATCCACAGTGTCCACACCATCACATGGGACCAGGATTCCAGCACAGAAATCACTGATGGCAAACCAAATCCAAACCTTAGCACCCCCAAAGACCAAACTAAGTATACTTAATTTGACAGTATACTTGCTGTCAAATCTCTTCACGGGCACAGTGAATTCTCCCTTGATGGTTTCATTTCTGTTTAGCACAAGTAACACCATTTTTACTTTTACTGTACATTTATTTAGTTATTAGTTAGCACACAGATGGAGGTCAGAGGTCAACTTATTGGAGTCACTTCTCTTCTTTTATCATGTGGGACCAAGAGATGCATCTCAGATCTTGCAGTTTGGCAACAAGCAATAGTACCTAATTAGCCATCTTGCTGGCCCTCCATTTTAAGTCTTAGTTTGGTTTATTAGGCCACAAGGCAGGAGTATAACCCAAAACCATAGCCTCATGTGATTTTTATTTAGCAGAGGAGTGAATATAATGTTATAAGGTACCATATATTGTGTATGTACATATACATTTATACATATATGTATGTATGTTGTGGAATCATAGAAAGTGAAGGTGTGGTGTTCCAAGATGCAATTGTGCTCTGAATAAAAGCCCTATGTGTGGCATCATTCGTCACAGGTCTCTGAGGCGCTGCCAGTGGGCTGAGTGGTTGGGATCTGAAAGACAGCTCACGGGGTTTCAGAGAAGAGACAATGGGATATCCAGGGATCACCAAGACAAGGGCTGTCAGCTCTGATTCGATGTTCTAATCCACAGCAGAGGGACCAACTTCGAGAAGGTCAAATACTTAGAGTGGCAAAGGGAGAGGAGCATTGCCAGAGGCCAGGGGCGACTCAGAAAGGAGCTGGAGGAGGGAGCAGACGTGGGCTGTGAGCCGTGTGGGGCCGAAAGAGAGAGGTCTGGAGTCAAAAGGGCTTCAGCTCTGCCCGAGGACCTCAGTACTTTATGCCGTACAGGACACACCAAAGGTGATAGTTTTGTTGTTAAGACAGGATGCCTGCAGCCTAGACTGGCCTAGAACTCATTCTTGTACACCAGTCTGGCCTTGAACTTGTTGAGTTCAACAAGGCCTCCTGCATGTCTAGACGACAAGCACATACCACAATGTTTGTCTTCAGGGTTTTCCTTCTAAACCAAAAAACTGTGTGTGTTTCTGTACGAGCATATATATCTTTGTGTCTATTTGCATGTGTCTCTGTGTGTGTGTGTGTGTGTGTTTGCATCAATGCCTGAGGTATATTTATCCATACATTTGCATGTGTTCCTTTCTGCCTGTATTTCTGCATGTGCATTTGTATGGGTCTGTGCATCTGTGTGGGTCTGTGCATCTGTGCATCCGTATGGGTCTGTATGTCCAGCTCATGTATTCTTGGACAAGGGTATGGAAGGAGGCTGCACAGACATTAACTGGAGAGCCACAGGGTGTGGTTATAGACAGATGATTATGGTGTTGATAGGATTAACAAAGACATCTCCTGGGTATAAACAAAGATCTCTGAAACTGTTGGATTGAAAATGAGGGAAAGATAGATACAAATTACATGGCCTTGGGTACACTGAGGCATTGCTGCAGAGGCCATGTCCACAGAGAGCCGTGCAGAATGGAGGGGTTGTGGAGAGCAGAAGGCAGACTCTGCTCACTGCTCTAGACCCCACCCCCAGAGCCTACCTGACCCTCCCTGAGCTGGGAGAGGCAAGCAGAAGGTTATTTGTGCCTGTCAGTGCCTGACAGAGATACAGAAATGCCAAATGTCTTTCTTCAGCTCCTTGAGTTTCCCCTCCCAGTCTTCCTCAGAGCTCTGCCAGCTTCTAGGACCTTGGCAGACGTCCCAATTTAATTATTCATTCCATTGTCCCCAGATTTTGTTTTTACTTTTCAGAATTGGTGTCCCAGTTCAGGGCTTGGACAGTCTGTGTCCCTGAGTCATCAATTATCCAGAGCCTTGCCTCCTGTCACTGTCTTTTTCCTGTCCCACAGATGCATGGACAACCCTGACACAGTCTCCCACGAGCTTCTGGCATTTAAGAGTCCATCAGTCTTACAATTCTCCAACACAACGTTCCAGGACTTTGTGTGTGTATGTGTGTGTGTGTGTGTGTGTGTGTGTGTGTGTGTGTGTGTGTGTGTGTGTGTCCATCAAAGAGTCAAAGAACACCTTTTGAAACTTGGCTCTCTCCTTCCACCATGTGGGTTCCAGGGATCCACCTCAGGTCATCAGCTTAGCAGAAAGTGTCCTTTACCCATTGAGACACCTCACAGATCTCTTACATAGAAAATTTGCCTCAAGAGATGGAAAACAGAGCTAGGGATATAGCTCCTCCCCTGCACCACACAAAGGAGGCATGGAACTGAATGCTTATAACCCCTGTACCTACCTGAGAAGCTGAAGCAGGAGGATTCCATGACTTCTAGGCCAGCCTGAACTACAGAGTGAGAGCCTGTCTTCAAAGAGAGTATCAATGTAAATAAATGAGTCTATGAAGAAAATGGCCTCATTGAACTTCAAGACCTGGGTAGTCAATCCCAGAGTACATCATCCTGAAACTGGAGGGGGGGTGTCACTCCTGTAAGGATGCTGTAAGTTGTTAGGCACAGTGACACACGCCTTTAATCCCAGCACTTGGGAGTCATAGGTAGTTGATTCTTTGAATTAGAGACCATCCCAGGCTACATAGTGAGTTCCAAGACAGCCAGAGGAGCTATATAGTAGGACCCTGTCTCAAAAAGAAAAAGAAATGTCAAGATCAACATCCCCCTGAGACAGGTTTTGAAATTGCTCTCTGGGTCATTGCTGAAATTCTAGATTCCATCCATTAAAATCATAAACAGCTCTGGAAAGGGCAGGGGCTGCAGGGCTTACACACCACATTGTAAATTAATTGCTATTTCCTGAGCCAGTAAGTAAGGATGCAGGGAGACGGGAAAGGGGGTGTTTATTTTTCTAAAGTTTGGACAACTGCCAGTGGTGCCGAAAATTTAATTACTGCTGCAAAAGAGTAATTAAATTTTGGAAGCAGGAAACCTGTGGCCCAGAAGTTTAAGGCAGTTCAGGGGCCGCTGAGGGGAAAGCCCTGTGGTATGGGGGCTGGCACCTGCCCATCTTCACCAAGCTTACGGTTGCCAGGCTGTGACACGGGCTAGGCAGTGCTTGGGTCTCCCTGTCATAGTAGTCAGGGGCAGGCCAGGACCCGGTGGTGGAGCATGTGCCGAGCCTGTATCAGGTCCCGAGTTCAATCCCTGGCATTCACCTAAAAAATAGTAGCAGGAGTGAGTAAGTGATGGACTGTTGCTGTCTGACCTTTCCTGGGGAGATTGTTCATTCTGCGTGGAGAGGGTGCCAACAGACCAAAGTCCATCCAGGTCCACTCTAGTGAGCCAAAGAGTTTCCTGGGGTTACTTACAGGTGCATGAGGGACTCCCTACCCTGCTGAAGAGTCCCACCCAGGTTGACTCTTTCCCTCACATAACCTCAGGAGGGAAGGTCTAGGGGGATCCATAAGGGCTCCTGAGCTCTGTGAGCTCCATTCATTGTCTCCCCACAAGGGTTGTGAGCGCAGCTGCTCTAAGACAGCCATGGGACACCCAACGTGAAGGAAAGAGCTACAGGACAGACGCCTAAGACAGGATCTGTAGCCCAGGCTAGCCTGAGACTCCCTTCACAAACCTCTGGTCTTCCCACCTCCACTTCCTTAGTGCTGGGGTCACAGGCTGATGCCACAGCGCCCGATGACACAGAGCGGGAAGCCAGCCCCGCGCTTCTCACATGCTTCCTACACACTTCCCACGTGCTAGGCCAGCACGTCCCCAACCCCTGACATTCTTTGTACGAGCAGATGCTTTCTCAGGCTGGGATGTAAGGTGAGCTTTGGGAACTCAGTCCATGCTTAGGTTGGAGAAGCTTGTATGTCTTTACACAGGTGTGCATACGTACATGGTGCCACGGGCACTATATTAGAGCTCGGCCACTGCCAGTTTTAAAGTTGCTCACGGCCCCACTCAATGCTTTGCACGGGTGACTTCATGTAGTTCCCATAGTCCCCCTGAGATTGGCACCGTTATTTGATTTTACACAGGAGGTGGGGGTCAGACACCCATTTTGGATTCAGGATTTTAAAATAGGCACAAGCCACACACACACAACATGCTCCCAAGATGCCATAAGGATTGACAGTGCTCAGGGCTGGTCTCTTGTTTTCAGTCCAAAAAGAAGCAAAGATGCTAAGTGTCCCCGACAGAGAGAGTATACTGCTGAGTGGGGACTTTGTGACAACTACGTGGACGTTCATGTTCTGGCTATACACCTATGTGCTGAGCTTCCTTGGTCACAATTCTCATTCTGTTGGCTATCCACTGCATTCATCTGTAAAACCAGGGCTCAGGGGTGCTGGCCTTGTAGACAGGGCAGGAATACTGAACAGACGGACATAAGGGGTGTGACATTTGACAGCATGCCGTGAGTAACAGCCACTCCATGTCTGTCCCCGCGCTGGTGGCTGAAGTTCAGCACTGGCGCCAGCAGAGGGTGACACAAAATAGCTAACAACAACAACAACAAAAACCTAAATGACTGTGGACCCAGTGTGGTGGTGTTCGTCTGAAATCCCAGCACTGAGGCAGAGGAATCACTATAAACTCCAGGTCAGCCTGGGCTGTGGAATGAGGCCCTAACATACTACTGCACCAATATCATTGTAGCACACAGGTGCAAGAGATACAATGCCAAAGAATGAAATAATGACTACTTTGAAATAGTGTGCATTGTATCTCACATATTAACGGACCGAAGACTCGTTTGCTTTGTGACCGAAAGACCAAAACCTTTCAGTATTTCACGAGATCCGTATCTTAGGGAAAGGGTTCTTCCAACAGTGCTATCAAATTCAGTTTGCTTCCTGATTTCTTGTCACTGTCCAAAACAGATAGCTTTGCTGAAAGAGTCGTCACCAAGGAAGGGAAACGAACAGCACATTGCTGTGTGCAAAACTCCGAAGCGCCGTGCACTGAGGTGTCCACTGCCCACAGGTGTCCTATGAAGACCGTTGTGCAGATCGCATGGGCTGAGATAATGTAATGCCAGTGCGGCCACTGAGCCCTGTGCACACATGCTGCTGGAAGCAAGGGGACAGGCCAGGGTGGCTGTGAGTCACATACACATTTAGCTAAGTTTTGTGCCATAAAGCTGATCACGCCAGGCGCTGGTGACGAACACCTTTAATCCCAGCACTCAGGAGGCAGAGGCAGGCGGATGTCTGTGAATTCGAGGCCGGGCTGGACCAACAGCCTCCAAAACAATACAGAGAAACCCTGTCTCGTAAAACCAAAAAAAAAAAAAAAAAAAAAAAAAAAAGCTGATCACATACTTCACACAATCCTTTGTTTTCAGACATCTTTTTTTTTTTTTTTTTTTTGCCTTCAGCTCTGCCTTGGGGAAATGATTGGTCCCCACAGAATCATTTCTCAGGGTGAATACCAGTCTGATAATATGTTCTAAAGATTCCACACCATGTGTTTCTCAGAAGGTAACGGCCACGTCTGGGCAGTGTTCCACACCCCTCCAGAGCCATTCTTCACTCCACCTAGGGGAAATCAGCCCTTGTCTGATGAAGGCCATCCTTCATGAGCCAGGGTTTGAGGTTGTTGGGTGGGTTTTTTGAACAATTTGTTTTTGCTTTTGTTGTTGTCACTGTGGTTTTTATTGTTTGTTTTTTGGTTTTTTTTCTTTTTGTTTTGTTTGTTTTTCAAGACAGGATTTCTTTGTGTAGCCCTTACTGTCCTGGAATTAGCTCTGTAGACCAGACTGGCTTAGAACTCAAAAAGATCCATCTGCCTCTGCCTCCTTAATGCTGAGATTAAAGGCAGGAGCCACCACCATCCAGCTTGAACGAGGTAGAATGGACCAGAATTCCTGAATCTGCCTGTTCCCATTTTCTATACACAAGACACTAACCCTGCCTCCTTACCCTCCAATAGCGAGGGCCCTTGAGCTTCTTACCTGCAGGAGGCTCCCAGCACAGGCTCACGTAGAGCTGCTCCCACAAAGAGCTTGTCAGAAGAAGTCCAGATTTCTCATTCTGACAAGAAAACAAAAACTCTTGGAGATAATGTAGTTAAAGATGCTTGAGAAGTATCTTGCTGTGGTGATATATTATTTATGATTTATTAAAACTTAGCTGAGGATTCAGAAAGCAAAGTCAGTCACAAGCCATAGAAGCCAGGCACACACCTTTAATCCCAGCAGCCAGAAGCTCCTGAGAGCTGAGGGGCCAGCCTGGTGCCAGCACACTTGGTTTATATAGTACTGAGATCAAACCTGAGTCTTGTGCATGCCGTGTGAGCACAATACCAGTGCAGCCACATCCCAGGGTTCCAGTCCCCTCCTGCAAGGAAGTCTGGCAGGTGTAGAACTTGCCAGTTCCTGTCAACTGTTATCTGGGGTCAGGGGGAACCATTATCCTAACTAGCCATTTACTATGATAGCTGCCCTTAGAGATATGGAAAAGCACCAGTGAACTAGATTTTCTTTCTTTCTTTCCCCTTTTCTTTTGTTCTCAGAGTTGGGAAGGAACCCAAACCCTTGCACATGCTAAGCAAGCACCCCAGCACTAATCTATGGCCCCAGGTTAATTTCCCATTTCTTTTATTACACAGTCTCAGCTTCACCTTGAAGGGAAATTCCTAACGATTTCAGACATCGCTCCACTTAATAAGCCTCAGAACCAAGACATGTAACTGTCACGAGACCATGGATGCTCTTCATCCTGGAGGCACTTAATCATTGAAAACTATTTTTAAATTGATAGTGGAAGGTTGTGAAATTCAAACTATGAAACTTAAATACTCAACTAAAATCAAAATATTACGTGTCTTTTTCCTTTACTCTCTAGCAATCCAAACAGTCAGTCAATTGGGGAGGAGGGGCTAAACATAGCCACTCACAAGCCTTGTCCTCACAGCTGTGCTGACAGATGCTTGATTGATAACTGTCAGACATTGTGACAATGTGGGGTTAGTCAGAGACCTCGATGGACAAATGGAAAACTCAAAGGTTTGATTAATTAATGAGAAATCTTCAGAGAAACAACATTCAACTAATCTTCCAGTACTTCCTAGCGGGAGCCACACCATCCATCCCAACAATGTTTGCGGAAGAACATTGACTTTGGTAGAGCACTAACTCCTGTGAACCACTGTCTGACCTCCACACTCATACTAACACACACGTGCGCACAGAAATAAAGTAATAATGCCTTTCTCTGAACGTGGTGTCACGATCCTGTAGCCTCAGCACTTGGGAAGTGGGGGCAGGAGGATCAAGAGTTCAAACTCAGCCTCTGCGAGCTATATAGGCCAGCCTGGGACACCTGGGACACGTGAGGTCTTTAAAATAAAATCAAGAAAGAGAAGTGAGGCACACAGCGGAGATCAGAGGACACCTTTTCAGAAGCTGGTTCTCTCCTTTGATCATGTGCCTAGAACCCAATTCAGATCATCAGGCTTTTGGATCACCTTGCGGACTCCTAACTGAAACCTTTAAGCTGGCTTTCAGATGTTGTTCCTCCTCTCCCTCCTCCTCCTCTCCCTCCTCCTCCTCCTCCTCCTTATTCTTTCTCTCCCCTCTCCCCTTCCCCTCCCTCCCTTCCCCCTCTCTCTCAGGTCTCATGTGTATCCCAGGCTGGCCTCTAACTCTCTACATAGCCAAGGATAACCCTGAGCCTCTGGCCCTCCACCTCCCAGTGCTGGGCTTGCAGGCGTGGGCCACCATGCCCACTGTGTGAGGTGGTTGGGGACTGGACCTAGAGCTTCATGCACCCTAGGTAAGCACTCTGCCGACCGAGCTACATCCCCAGTCCCTGACACCCTTGGGACACGGTACTAAACATAAAGGCTCTATAACTAACAACAAAACCTTCCCAGGCAGTGTGTGCAGTATGATAGAACTGATTGTATCTTGGCATATCTTGGTTTTTAACTGGAAAACAAGCATTTTGTCGTGATTGTTGGTTGTCACTTGCCAGAAAGAGGTAACAGTACCTTCGTGGTCAACACATCTTGGAGGTCATGAGGTTAAGTAGAGAAATGATTACTGCAGGCTTTGGAAATCAATGACGCACTTGTCAAGGATAAGCTTCCATTGCTGGCGCTGAGTGCAGGGAACAATGAAAACAAATGCTCAATTAACAGCTGAGGTGACTAATTATTACATTGTAGCCAACACAGCTGCATCAGGAGCCGCACAAAGGCACATAACCAGTCTGTATTGTTTTTATTGCTGGTTTTTCTTTAATTATTTTGTTTTTGTATTTTCTGTCATTCTTCGAGTTGGTTGGTTTGTTTTCCTTGGGTTTCTTGTGGGGACTTTTGTGTCTTTATGGTTTCTTGTCTGCCCGTTTGTTTGTTTGTTTTGAGACAGGGTTCCATGCAGCCCAAGCTTTCTGCAGACACGATATAGCTGAGGATGGTCTTGGACTTTGACCCTCTTGCCTCCATGTCCTAAACAGAATTAAGGAATGTACAACCACACCAAGTTTATGCAGTGCTGGGATCGAACTCACCATGTAGGCAGGCATTCTGCCAACTGAACTCTAACTACTGTAGGGTGAAACTTAGTACTCTGCCATTAGCCGTGTGACGTATTAGAGGCGCATACAGATGAGGTAATAAAAGGGCAGTTTACCGCACAGCTAACCACACCCACTTTAGGCGTGACTAAAGATATATATGGACATAGGTGGTGAACTACATCAGTAGCCAGGCCCACTTTTGGGCATGGCTAGGGGCGTGTACGGAGGAAGGAATAAAAGACTGAGCAGCAGAGTCAGAACCTCTCGCCCTCTTTTCAGCTTTCGGTTTGGTGGCGAAAGACTTCACTTATCTGGGTTGCTTGTTTTTCTCTTCTGAGTAATTTCTACAATAAATACGTACCTATACTCTCAATAAGTGTGCCGTTTAGCGTTGCAGCATCATTTTGGTGTCAGAAGTTCCGGAACCCGGATCCAGTATCCCTAAGCTTCCAGACAAAAGTTCTTTGTAGAAAGAGCCTGCTCTTGGTCACCTACTTAAATCAAGGACTCAGATTTGACCCTACATGTGTGGTACTCCGTAACTTTCTTTTTTATATATTTAATTGTATTATTTACATTCATTACACCCCAACAGAGTTTTCCCTACCTCCACTCCTCCCAGTACCCCCTCCCAGCCTCCACTCGCCCACAGATCTACTCCTCCTCTGTTTCCCTTCAGACAAAAAAAAAAGTCAGGTAGCGGTGCCCACCTTTAATCCAGGCACTCCAGAGACAGAGGCAGATGGATTTCTGAATTCGAGGCCAGCCTGGTTTACAGATTGAGTTCCAGGACAGCCATAACTGCACAGGGAAACCCTATCACAAAAAAAAAAAAAACCAGCAGACCTCCCAGGGTTATCAATATGGCATAACAAATTACAATAAGGCTAGGCACAAGCCTTCATATTAAGGCTGGACAAAGTGATCCACTAGGAGGAAAAGGATCCTAAACACAGGCAAAAGAGTCAGATGCCCCCAACTCCCACTGTTAGGAGTCCCGCAAGAACACCACTATGTGACCACAACATACATGCAGAGGAGCTAGCTCAGACCCATACAGGGTCTGTGATTGACAGTCAGTCTCTGTGAGCCCCTATGAGTCCTACTTATTTGATTCTGTGAGTTGTGTCCTCTTTGTGTTCTTGGCCCCTCTGGTTCCTAGAATCCTGCCTCTCCCTCTTCTTCTGGGTTCCTCTGGCTCTGCCTCGTGTTTGGCTGTGGGTCTCCGTATCTGCTCCCATTAGTTGCTGGACGATGCCTCTCTGATGACAATCAGGGTCTGGAACTCCCTTACTTGGACTATGAGAAAATAAATTTTTACATAAAAACCAAATTCTTAGTGGTTTTGCTAGATGTTAAGGATGACTGGGAACAACTAAGTCAAAAGAAATAAACAGCCCTCAACTGTGATAGGACCCAGTAACAGATTAATGGCAGCAGATGGACCAAGGATGTTGTGAAGTCCAGGGACAGGGGCATCTTTGTTCTCTGAGGTCTCTCCCACCCCTGGCTATTGAAAGCTGTTTTCTCCACCTGTGCTGTGTGTTCTCATCTCAGACCCAACCATTCTTAATTCCTTACATTTATTAACACTTTTTAGTTTTATTTTCAAGATAGGATCTCCTACAATCTATGCTGAACTCTAATTTATCATTTAGCCAAAACTGGTCTTAAATTTCTGATCTTCCTTGTGAAATGTCTGTTTACATTTTGTGAAGATGTGTCGCTAAGATTGGTTTAATAAAGAACTGAATGGTCAAAAGCTAGGTAGCAGAGGATATGCAGGACTTCTGGGAAAAGCGAGGAACTCAGGGTGAACCTAGGTGTGTGAAGGAGATGCCACGGAGACACTGAAGAGGTTAGACATATAGCACAGAGGAGAGGTAAGCAAGCTATATGACGGAATATAGATGAATAGAAACAGGTTAATTTAAGTTATAAGAACTAATTGAGAACAAGCCTAAGCTAAAGGTCATGCCTTCATAATAATAAGTCTCTGTGTCATTATTTGGGGCCTGGCAGTTCCAAGGAAAGTCTGTCTACACCTCCTGCCTCTGTTTCCCCAGTTCTGAAATTAAAGATGTATACCACTATGACTGTTTTCTACCATGCTAGGCATTAAACCCAGGTTTAAGCCACTACTCCTGGTTTATGCAGAGCTGGGTATCAAACCCAGGGCTTGCCGGGCAGTGGTGGCGCACGCCTTTAATCCCAGCGCTCGGGAGGCAGAGGTAGGCGGATCTCTGTGAGTTCCAGGCCAGGCTGGACCGACAGCCTCCAAAACAATACAGAGAAACCCTGTCTCATAAAACCAAAAAAAACCAGGGCTTTGGGCATTCTAGGCAAGCACTCTACCAACTAAGCTATAGCCTCTGACTTGTTTCTTTCATTTGTACTTTTCTATCTGTTTGTTTGTACATGTCTGTTTCTGTGTGGATATATGTGCATGTGTCAGGGGCAGGGCACACAATCAGGCAAGATGGTAAGTGTGAAAGTGCCTTTATGGGGTGAGGGAGACACACAGGTGTCGATAACAACTCATAATGGACCGTGACTAGTGCAGGGCACCGTGGCTCATACATGTAATCCTAGCACTTGGGAGGCTGGGGCAGGAAGATTGCTGCAAGTTCAAGACAAGCCCAGGGTACAAAATGAGACTTTGTCCCAAAAAGCTGAAAGCAGGTCTAGAGAGACGGCTCAATAAAGAGTGCTACTTCCAGAGGATGCAAGTTCGATTCCCGGAATCCACATCAAGTGGCTCACAACTGCCTGTGACTCCACATCTAGGGAAGTACCTCACTCTCTAAGAGCACCTACACTCCTGTGCGCGCATGCACACACGCATACACACACACACACACACACAGAGAGAGAGAGAGAGAGAATTAAAATAAAATAAAGTTGGAAGCAATGACACTGGATTGCATTCTCTAAGCCTCACAAATTAGTTCTGAGATTTAGCTGGGTAGAAAAAGAGGTAGTTCATTCCCAACAAGTTGTTTGTTTCCAAGACGTAAAGGCTTAATACATCAACATAGGCAATTAGCTTAAATCCAAAGCCTCTTATACAATATCCAAAAAAGGGTGTTGTTAGAATGAAAGGCTCCTGAGAACAGCTCTGCTGATGCACTGGGCAGGTGTCGATTGCCAGGAGGCATCAAGCATCCAACAGGATTTGATGACATCAGCATGAGTCTCACTGTGTGTCAAAATCGCATGAGGTCATTTCAAGCTAATCAAATGGGTAGCAGGAGAAAGGTGCCATTCAGCGTGTATTACCTCAACCACTAACAAAAGGGCTGGAAACCAAGGGCTTAATGAATCCAACCAAACAAGAAGGGCAGTGGTGGTTGGACCGTTAAGGCTCTCATACTGAGTGAGGATCTGTCTCCTCTCATAGGCCCTAAGGCAACTTCTCCAAAGTGATTCTGTGGTCATTAAAAAGCTTCCTGCTTTCAGCCACAGGGTTTTTCTCATTGCAGACACTGAGCAGTTGTTTCTGGGTTACTGGGAGGGGGCATGTTGGGGGGTAGTTGGAAATGTTCATTATTGGGCTGCAAAAAAGAAAGATGTTAGCAATACACCTCAAGTTCTATCCAAGGGCAGATGTCCAATGAGCTTTGTGTGTGTGTGTGTGTGTGTGTGTGTGTGTGTGTGTGTGTGTGTGTGTGTGTGTGTGTGTGTGTGTGACCACGGCTAGCTTATATGGAAGAACTTGTGAAATCTAGTTGCATTTTCTTCCTGAGCCATCACACTATCCCAGGTCCTATTCACTTCTAAGGAGGATTCCATAAAAGAAGCATAAAGGGCTACAGAGGGGAAAGACAAAACGTCATGATTTTTTTTTCAATCTGATGGGTAGGCTCTGAGTTTTTCTTCAGGAAGGCGAGTCTGACAATCATTTCTAAGATGGATTAAAATAAAAACAGGAAGGTGAGGATTACCAATAGCAATGATCTGTGCTTGGGCTGTGACTCAGTTGACAGAGGGCTTACCTAGCATGCACGGAGCCCTGACTTTGACCCTTAGCAGCACATAAAGCAGATGTGGTGGTGTGCATCTGTGAACCCAGCAAGTGGAGGGTGAAGGCAGGAAGGAATAAATCCCAAGCTCAGTCTTGGCTGCATAGTGAGGTCTAAGGACGTTGGGCTACAAGAGATCCTATCTCAGGGCACGGAATGAAGCCGTAATGGGGTCCATGAAAACTGTGCTATGAGCTCCAGAAGGGTGTGGATTCACGAAGGGTGAGGATTTCCTTTTCGTCAAAGATTTATCTATTTCCATTTTCGTGTATGGGTATTTTACCTACATGTGTGTCTGTACATCATGTAGTCTCAGAGACCAGAAAAGGGCATTAGCTGCCCTGGAGCTGGAGATACATACAGTTGTGAGCGACCAAGAGGGTGCTGAGAATCAAACCCAGGTCATCTGGAAGGGAGGCCAGGACTCTAACCACTGAGCCATCATTCCAGGGCCCATGAAGGATGCTTTTACGATGACCCACACTATAGCAGAAGACGTAAGACATGAACTTTGCTCTTCGGTTTAGGCACAGGGATGGAGAAGTGACATCTTAGAATCAAGGAGACGAAGCACAGCATGTCTGGCCTAGGGTTGAGGTCGTGCTAATTAAAGAGGCAGGGGGGTGGGCCGGGTAGCAAGGCAGAGACCAAAGACAGAACCCAGTCCCACATGCCCTCTGCATGCTCTGATGGAAAAAGAGCTAAGGAGATATGCTTCTGCTAAAGGGCCACCGAAGGGTACTACTACATGTTGATGGCCAATCCCAGGATGTCACAAGGTTGGGAGGCAGGCAGCAATGGGACGCAGACTGGGCTGGGGTTTCTCCAGCGGAAGGTGCAGAAATACATACACTGCTGACCACGTAGTTGGCAGTGAAGATGAAAGAGGGCTGTGCATGGAATCCATTCAGTGTGCAATGAGCACAGTTCTCGATGCAGTCCTCGAGGCAGTCAGGTAGGGGGAGGTAAGCAAGGGGCCAGGTGTGCAGGAAAGCAGGAAGGGCAGGGGGAGAAAACACAACGAGGGAGGGGAAGGGGATGAGGGCATGTGTGGTCTAAAGGCAGGGGTGAGCCCACGTCAGCCCCCTAGACCAAACGGCAGTTAGCACCAGACACTTTCACACCCGATGCCTCTGTTTGTCGGCAGGTGAGCTGAGTGTTTAAAGACACATCCGGGGATGGGTGTGCATGACTAGAATCCCATTCATTGCTCAGGCAGGAAGAGTGCTGTGAGTTTGAGGTCACCCTGATCTACACAATGAGTAATGTGCCCTCTGGGGATACATAGCAAGATCCTGTCTCAAAAAAAATGTACACGGATAAATAATAAAATAAAGATGCGTCTGGTAACAAGAATACACTTGGGAGCGAGCGGGTTCAACCCATGGGACTCACATGGTGGAAGGAATGGCTGGATCCCTGCAGGTCGTCCTTTGATCTCCAGATACATACTGTGGCACACCACCAATGCCACCTCCACCCCGCAATAAAGAGATAAGTAAATATTTGTTTCATAATAAGAAACTTAGTAACTGAGCAGGGTCAGTAAGTAAAGAAGGCATGTCTGGGCCCCACTGTGCTGACAGGGGCCCACGCAGAAAGACCTCCCAAGGCAGCACACTGGCCTAGTGTCAGACACCCAGACACCGCAGTGAAAGTGAAAAGACATCTCAACTGCCACTGCCACCTCCGCCTCTCTTCTGTTTCCCTCCCACTCTTTGGTTTCAGGCCAAGCTCAATACCTAATACAGAACCAAGCCCAGAGTGTGGGAAGGAAACAGAAAGAGGAGGGGCAGAGGTAGCAGATCCCATCACCAGAAGGCCAGCTACGCAACCTGCAGCTTCGGGGCAAAACCAGCATCCATAGTGGAGCTCATGAAATCCAACAGTCTTGAGCCAAGTGTGGTCCCATCACTAATGTAAGGCATTGTTTGTACACAGGATTGCATGGCCCTAGAGACAGCTCCAGTTGCAAGACCCTGGTCCTCCTAGGCCATGCTCGCTTGCACTCATAGGGGTTGAGGGAAGTAGGCTGGATTTGCAACTCTGCAGCACAGTTCACCAGAAGAGTAAAAAATCTAAGACAAAAAACAAACAGACAAAAACAGTTCTTTCCTCATTTATCATTAGATAAGATCTTGTGTCCCAGGCTAGCCTGAGATGACCTTGGGCCATTTAGATGAGGATGACCCTTAACTTGAGGAAAACCTTGAACTTCTGACCCTCCTGCTTCAATCTTCCAAGTGTTAGGGTTACATGTGCACACCCCAACAGCAAGTGTGCTGGGGTTACAGGTGCACACCCCAACAGCAGGTGTGCTGGGGTTACAGGTGCACTCCCCAACAGCAGGTGTGCTGGGGTTACAGGTGCACACCCCAACAGCAGGTGTGCTGGGGTTACAGGTGCACTCCCCAACAGCAGGTGTGCTGGGGTTACAGGTGCACTCCCCAACAGCAGGTGTGCTGGGGTTACAGGTGCACTCCCCAACAGCAGGTGTGCTGGGGTTACAGGTGCACACCCCAACAGCAGGTGTGCTGGGGTTACAGGTTGGAGTTACAGGTGTACATCCCAACTGTCAGGGTCCTCTGGCCATCAACCAGATACGGCTGCCTCATGTACTCATAAGACGTGATTCAACCCTCATAGAGAGTACGTGACTCTGGACCACCCTGCTACCTGCCAAATTCCAGAAACAGACCTGCGACTTGTCTGCCTAGTCACTAGGGCATAGACTTGAACAACAGAAGGTAGAATGTGAAAGATAAAGTTAGAATCTGCAGTTAGGTTACCAGAGGACACAGGATGACCTGCCCCTCCCACTGACCTTTGCTCCGACAGGTTCAGCGCAGCTATAGCACGCCCCCATTCCTTCCTCTCCTCCCTTCCCCTATATAAACCCCTTTGGGATGAAATAAAGTTGTTGCCTTGATGTCCTGTCTTGGTGTCCATTCTTGTATCCCCTGTCCTCCATCTTTCTCCTAGGTGTCTACCAGACCCATGTTGAATGTCCTGCGGGTCCAGGCATTATTGGCGCCCACGTGCCTGAAGTCTGACAACCAGGGGAAAGACGCCGCTGGCCGGAGAGAAGGGTTCTTCCAGAGCGTCCCCACATGGTCTTCATTTTGGTGACCGACCGAAAAGAGCAAGACGGATGAGGTGGCGAGCAACGGTGCAGATCTCACGGCCAAGTGAGTGATGGGGCAGGCATTCTCTCAAAAGTCTCTATTTCTGGGCTCAAGGAAGCCCTCAGGATACGAGGAATTAGGGTGAAAAAGAAGGATCTTGTACAATTCTTACGAGGAACATGGGTTTAAAACAAAGATTTTAGCCGGGCGTTGGTGGCACACTCCTTTAATCCCAGCACTTGGGAGGCAGAGGCAGGCGGATCTCTGTGAATTCGAGGCCAGCCTGGTCTACAAAGTGAGTTCCAGGACAGCTTCCAAAGCTACAGAGAAACCCTGTCTCGAAAAACAAAAAAAAAAAAAAAAGATTTTAAAAGGTTGTAACTTATATGGGAGATGTTTGTCCCCGGAGGGGATATTAATTAAAAAAAAAAAAGTGGTGACTGCCTTCAAGATTATTTAAGGGAGTGTATAAGACAGAAATTGCTGGTCAGATGACTGGCACCTTAGATGCTGGTGTGGTCCTCAGAAGCATTGGGGGCTCGTGTGACATTGTTAAAGCATGGAGAAAGTGATATTTTCCTGAGTGGTGGCCCTTTCCCAGTTGGTCTCACTCCTGCCTCCAGGCTGGTGAAGGGTGGAGAGCTCTGGCACTTGATCTTAGTCCTAGTCGTGGAAAGCCAAGCATTCATTGCTTGGAATCCTGGCACCTATTTAGCCATGAAACTTTTAAAGCCACAGATTTATAGAGTGGGTGCATACAGATCTCTAAACACTGAAACCCAAGCAACCAGGACTACACATCCACCCTTCTGGGCAGCATTTACCTGAGACACTAGGAGGCAGTGTTGGCCAGTTGTCTGCTCCTGTGGCTCTGGGGAAGAGTGAAAGGGACACTTCCTAACTGTCCATGCATTAGCTTTAGGAACGTCTGGAAAAGAAAAATGCAAAGATGCTTCTAATTGCCATCATGTGACCATCAAGCCCAGGGCCAAATTCTGGTCACAAAACAGACTGAAAGAGATGCCAGTGTATGGTTGAAGAAGAGCTTGGATGGATGGATGGATGGATGGATGGATGGATGGATGGATGGATGATCCAGGTAAAGCCAAGAGACAATACAACCTGGGGCACTGGCTGTCACTAGGTGGTAGACAAGGTTCTGCTTGAGTCCTTTGGCCTGGGGCTCAACAGCTTCCCTTTGCTGGCAGAAAGAGGGGAGAAGTGAAAATGGAGGAAGTGCTCCACAGGAGTGCTCCCCAGGAGTGCTCCATAGAAGTGCTCCACAGGAGTGCTCCATAGAAGTGCTCCACAGGAGTGCTCCATAGAAGTGCTCCACAGGTCCACCCACCTGACACTAGAGCTCTGTGCCACCAGCCACCACCACTCCAGGTCTCACTTCTGGAAAGATCCAGGACTTCTAGAGATACACCTGAGTTCCTAAGATGAACAGAGAAGAGCTACATCAGCCCCTGTAGACTGTAGGATAAAAAGGAAAATGGTTTGTATTTGAGAAAGTAGCATGAATGTCAGTCCATGCCATCTCCAGGTGGGGTAGGCAGAGACCCCTTCAGACATGAATAACCCAGCTACCCTAAAAGGTGGTACCAGAGGCATTTCAGGCAGTTCAGGGACCTTGGGTAAATCTCCTTATTTCTGTCTGGAGAAATGAGCTAGAGCTACCTGTAGAGCCAGCACTTCAGAGGCTGAGGCAGGAGGATGGCCTGGGGGGGGGGGGATTGTAGCTAAAATGACAAACCCAGCTCATTTGAAGATGTGTGGCTCAGGCCATTTGCATCAGCCCCTTCTCTTGGGGCGGTGTGTTGTTGGACAGTTTAGCTCTCCCCTGTGTCTGTCTCCCATCTCTAAAATGGGGTCAACGTGCAGATGACACAGATCTTCATATATAGCATTCACCATAGCAGCAGGCTTGGAAGATGCTCACCAAGTACTAGTTGGTGGCAATGGCGATTGTTCTGATGATGCTTGTGACACTGTGAGGACATTGCAGCTCAGGCAGCTCAAAAACTATCAGGAGGCAACCCCAGAACCACTCTAACTAAAAGCTGCAGTGAAGGCTGTTTGTTTGTTTCTGGTTTGTTTAGTTCATGTGTGCGTGTACCTATGTGTACATATGTGCGCATGAGTGCAGTGCCCACAGAAGCCAGAAGGTGTCAGATCCAGGGGGGGCTGTGAGAGGCCTGGAGTGGGCGCTGCCAAAGGAACTCAGGCCTCTGCAATTCGCTGAACCACCGAGCCACGTCTTAGCCTCCCACCCCAGCATTTTAATAAATCGGGTAAAGCTCTCCCATCCTGAGTTACTCTGCTTTGATCCCTGTGTCAAAGCACAAACTATTTAATGAATACAAATTTCAAAGCAGCTGCATTTGCAGCACTCTGAGAAAAAACAGCTTAGTTAATTGTGGTAGTTCATTGACTTCCAGTTAAGGGTTCACATAGGGAGAGATTTCATGTATTTATCTTTTCCAGTGCCGAGTGTCAAATCCAGAGACTCGCATATGCCAAGCAAACACTCTACCACTGAGGTACACCAGTCTTGGTTTACTTTGGTGTTTTTGTTGTTGCTTTGTTTTTTTTTTTAATTTTATGGTAAATGTTTACGTCTGTATTTGTGTATGTAGGTGTCTGTGTGAGTATATGTATGTGTGTGTGTGCACATGTATACACCCGTTTGTGCTCAGGGGCCAAAGGATGGTGTTGGGTGTCTCCTATCTCTCTGTAAGTGGTCTCTCTGAACATGGGGGCTTCTCAGCTAAGCTTGAAGCCAGCAAGCCCCAGCCCCTCACAGCCGAGATTAGTGTTTACAGGGACACCTTGTTACATGGGCACCATTACACTCTCATGTCCTCCTCTGCTGACCCCCTTCTCCTCCCAACTCCCCTACTCCAGCCCTCCTCCTTCTCCTCCTCCTCCTCCAGTGGCTACTGTGGTTTTGGGGCGGTGTTGTTGTTTGAGAAGACTCACTGTATAACTGGTCTACTCCTGGAACTACCAATCCTCCTGCCTCAGCCTCCAGAGTTCTGGGCCACAGCTATGAGCCACCACACCTGGTTTCTGTGTGTGTTTCAGTGCACAATAAGATGAAATAAAAGGAATGACATTCCTGGCACAGTCTTGCCAACCAGTGAACAGAAGTGTTTTGCAAGGAATTCCAGCTTCCGGAAAGGATGAGATCATGCCAGGGACACCCAGCTTTCTTGAACTTAGAGCTGCTGCTGTGTGTCGCTTGTTCCCAGGAGGTGGGAGAGCTGGGGAAGGGAGCCAGGCTGGCCTGGCCTCTTTGCTTGGTCAGATGCACAGCAGCCCACAATAGGCCATTGTTGTGAGAGGCAGGGAGAGCCTACAGCTCAGCCTTTGCTTTTTATGCTCTTCTGCTCATGTTTTTAAACCTCTTTTAGTTTCAAGTCAGCACAGTGGGAGATACTTTGATCTTTTGAAAAAATATTTTTATTAATTCTTTGAGAATTTCATTCAGAATGGTTTGATCATATTCACCTCCTACTTCTCTCCCAGGGAGATATTTTGGGCAAGCATTATCCGTGCCCTGAAGGAGTTATCATCTAAGGAAGAGAAATAGGATGAACCCTTGAGAACTACCCCCTAGGATACCTTTCCTCAGCAGGGAAGTATGCAACCCTTGCCTTCCTCTGGACTGGTCACCTCCAAAGTGCGGCTGGCTCTGGGCCAGAAGGAAATGGAAATGGAAGCAGAGTGCCCCCATTACAGCCTCTCATCAAATGCTTCTAGCTGCTGCTGCCTTGCCCGGATGGGCTAGCCTCCCCTGGGTGCCATAACCCGTAAATGACCAGGTTCTTTGCGCCTTCTTAGCGGTACCCACTCTGGCTGGCTCACCCTGGCCCAGGTACACAGCAGTGTTTGGTCCCTGACTCAGCTCTAATACTTACACACATGAGTGCAAGTTCATCCGTATGGGAGTACACCTGTGTAGAATGCTGTCCACCTCCCTTGAGACAGTCCCCAATTGCCCTGGAACACGTCAATGAGGTCAGAATGGCTGGCCAGCAAACCCCAAGGACCCTGCCATTGCTTCTCCAGCACTGGGACTGGAGGTGCATGCCCCCCCCTCGTGCCCTACAGGTTCTTTTGTTTTGTTTTGTTTTTGACAAGTTCTGAGGACCAAACTCAGACTTTGGTATTCAAAAGGCAAGTGTTTTACTGAGTCATCCCCCCAATCCCTCTAGGCTGTCTTAAGGTCACCTGCCTAGCTTGCACTTTCAGCCAGGTCCTGCCTACCCTCCTGCTGTGACATCAGGTGCTGGAAGAAGGGAGAGAAAAGGTCCCTCCCACCTGATGAAGTGCCTGATTACTTTATTCTTTACATAAAGAGAGATTTGCCTTAGGGAGCAAACAACAGATAGATGGTGACAATGGGGTTGCCCCTCCATCAGAGCCTGCTGTTAGCCTCATTTGGTGAGTGTTCCTTTCATCTCTATTGTTCAGGGTTAGAGAAGCAGTTTGGGGATCACCTGCCACTCTCCCTTTGTCCTCACGGGCCATCTGCCTTGCTTCGCAGTCATTTAGAAAGTATTTTAATAGCATCTTTGCCAACAAATAAAAAATAAACAGAAAGGGGCATTACTCTTTCTAAAAAGCTACATCTTGTTTACTACGCTTATCTTATAATATCTTATAAAATTTTAATGGGCCCTGAGTTATACATCTTCTGAAAGTGGCAGCGCCAGCCACCCTGCAATTAGAAAGAAACAGTCACAAAAAACAACAAAATGTAAGGAAAGTTTCTTTGAAGGTATCGGAGGAAATTATAACACAGTAAACACTTGCAGGGCTAGGAGGGGAAATGGCTCAGGTGGGAAGTACCTGCCACACAAGCGTGAGGAGCTGACTTAGACCCCAAGAACCCCCAAAATGTACTGAGCATGGTAATCCCAACGCTGGAGAAAGAGACAGGTATGCCATCCCTGAAGCACACTGGCCGGCTAGCCTAGCCTAATCAGAGAGTTCTAGGCCAAGTGAGAGACGCCACTTAAAAAAAAACAAGGTGGATAATGACCAAGGAAGACACCGGAGGTTGAACTGTGGTCTGCAAGCACAGAATTGCAGCATTGAAGCCCAGGTGCAAACCATAAAAGGGTGTCTGACTTTAGGGTCACTGTTTCCCCAGGATGTCTTCTAACTCCTGCTGAGGTACCACAGGGGTTGAAAAGCTGAGTAGATGTTTGACAGCCCTGTGAGTGGACCTACAATGAGAAGAACCCAAGCCTTTATCCATCCACTCGACAATATTTATTCATTATTACGTACATGCGCATGATGGGGGTCACACATGCCACCACTCACCTGTGTAGGCCTGTTTTCTCCGTCCACCTTTATGTAGGCTCCAGGGATTGGACTCAGGTTCCCAGGCTTGCACAGCAGCCGTCTGTCCCGGCTGAGCCGTCTCCCAGGCCTTCAGGTGGCGTCTATGGCACCTCCATTACTGCCAAGCACAGACAGGAGATTCAGGGGGCAGAGGGGATGGGGGAGGCTGTGGCGCGTGGCTCCCAAAGCTCAGTGAGTACCAGTCTCGGTCTTCTGTGCACTGATCATATGTCATGCCCGCACTGCTGCAGAGTCTCTCTAGGGAACCCCCTAAGGGCAGCGGGAATGGAAGGCACCATCCAGACAAAGGCCCTTGGAAGACATCTCCAGTGACAATGCTGTTTTCTCCTTAGCCATGGAAGACTGGAAAATTGCTGATGTAATATGAGAGAAGAAGGAAACCATTGCCCTATGGGATAGCCAGGGAGGCTAGAAGCAACGGCCTTGCCCATTCATTTGGCATGGCGGTACAAAAACAAAACCAGATTTGCTGAAACCACACAACTTATCTCCAGCCCAGCTGCTCACATAGACTTTGCTCCCCTCGGAAACTGCATACGCTGGGCCTCTACCATCTGCATTGCTCTCAGCACTGCAGCAGTAGAAGAGCCCTCTACACTGCTAACAGCTCTTAGCCACTTTCCGTGTCCACAGTTCCAAAGTCTTCCACGGTCCCTAATGGTCAACATGCTCAGTCCTTCACAGCAGCAGCCCACTCGGCAACCGGCGGCTGTGTTAGTCACTTTTCTGTTGTGGTGATAAAACCCCAGGACCAAAAGCAACTTATGCAACAAAGAATTTAGATCAGCTTACAGTTCCAGAGGGAGAAGAGTCTGTCACAGCGGCAAAGTGTGCCAGCGAGTGCCAGGCATGGCGGAAGGGGCGGGAAGCTGAGAGGTCACATGTCAGGCAGAGTGAACTGGAAGTAGGGTGAGGCGAGAAACTCACAAACCCACCTCCAGGGACGTACTTCCTCCTGCAAAGCCAAACCTTTCAACCACCCCAACCCCCAAATAACAAAGCTAGCTAGGGACCAAGTGTTCAAATACAGGAGCCTTATGGGGGACATTTCTCTCAGACCACCAGTGCCTAAGCCATGGTCTCTTACCTTAAGAATACGGGATCCTAGACCGTTTATAAAGGAAAGAAGCCCATTTGGTTCCTGGTTCTAGGTGCTGGACTCCCAAGACAGGACAAGGCTGTGCACTGCACCATGGATAGTGGAAAAGAAGGCGGCCAAGCAGACGTTCTCAGATATGACAAAGCTCAAGGAGTGGCCTTCCTTTACAACAACCCACCTGGTCAGCCCAGCAGGGAGGTACTGATCCCTCTGAACACACCAGACACACGGCAAAGGCCACACCTCCCAGCACCACCACGGCGCACACACTCAACTTCTAGCCCGAGTTCCAAGGGAACCAACCATGTTCAGATCAAAGCAGACCAAAGCTGTCATCCAACGCTCTGGAGGCAGAGACAGAAGCATCAGTTTAAGACAGCATTTGACTACATAGAGAGTCCCAAGCCAGTCCTAGCTATGTAAAACCCTGCATCAAACAGCAACTAAGACAGTAGCTGCGTGACCGAAGCCACGTAAAGGCCACACGTTTGCCAGCTTCCCGTGTCCTATAGCTGCCTGTCTGCCACGTGTCTGACCTATGGGCCAGTTTAAATGGCGTGGCTTTTTCCTTTCTCTCCTCTATTGTCTTCTTCAAGGCAGCTGCTGAAGTTTCACTACCCCCTCCCCGCAGTCTTTCTTTTAAATGCTAATAAAAATTGCCCTTATGCTTGCTTCTGACACCACCACTAAAAACAGTGAGCACAATGGTTACTTCTTCTGTTGCTGTGGTAAAACAACAAGACCCAAAGCAACCTATGGAAGAAATAGTTTATTTTGGCTTATGGTTCCAGAGTGGGGTCCACAGCGGCAGGGGAGGCATGGCAGCAGATGGCTGGAGTGAAGCAGAGAGATCCCATCTTCAGCTGCAAACACAGAGAGGGAGAGTGGTGGGGAGAGGTAAATGGGAGGTAAGGCCACAGCCCTCAGACCTGCCCACCCACAGTGACGTACTTCCTCTGGCAATGGTATCTCTCCAAACGGCACCACTAACCGCAGCCCAGGTATCCAAGTCTGTGACTCTGTGGGGGCATTTCTCAAACCACTGCAACACATATCTCCAAGCAGTGAGTAAGACAACTGAGAGAAATCCCTAAGTATAGCACAGAACTTTCTGGTTAGTAGTCTCTGAGACTCGGGATAGTTAAGAAGATGCTCTCAAATCCTAGAAGGCTTCCGGGCCTCAGAGTGAAGGTTTAAATGTATACAAAGACAACAGTGCACTCCTGTGTCTGGCATATTGAGTGACTGCTTAATAATGAATGCTGGCTATCTGATTACAAGTGCTAGAAGTTTTTCTAAGTGCACACACCAAGAAGGACTTTCATGAAGACGCTGCATAGACCAAGGGACTCTCATCACCTTTTCTAAGCAATAGAGAAGAATAAAAAAACAGCATCAGGAAAATGGCCATTAGACCTCCACAGATACGGCCTGACTTAATGTTTCGCTAAGGTCCTGGTTTCTGAAACCTTCCAAAGAACAGCACCGCATCTTCTTTTCTAGGCACAAGGCTGCTTTCCCCACTTCAGCCCCAAATCTATGAACCTGAAGCCTGCTCCAATTAAATGCTTTCTTTTATAAGGGTTGACACGGTCGTAATGTCTCTTCATAGCACTGGAACAGTGACTAAGATAATCTGAACACTTAGCTACAGAGGGGTCAGTGTGGCCTCTTGTGAAGGATACCTAGGCCCAGTCAAGTTTGCACCCTCAGGAGGACATGGTAGAGAGACCAGGACACAATCACTCAGTAAGGAAGCCAGACATGGGTCTTTTGTGGACTCAAACTAGAAAACCTGTATGAGCAGGGCGGTGGTGGCACACGCCTTTAATCCCAGCACTAGGGAGGCAGAGGCAGGCAAATTCTATGAGTTTGAGACCAGCCTGGTCTACAAGAGCTAGTTCCAGGACAGCCTCCAAAGCCACAGAGAAACCCTGTTTCGAAAAACCAAAAAAAAAAAAAAAAAAAAAAGAAAGAAAGAAAGAAAGAAAGAAAGAAAACCTGTCTGATAAAGACCTGAGCGTTCCAGACATGCCTGTACTATAAAAGAAGCTGTGTTACTCTTAGGGAAAGGAGGTGCTTGTAAAGGAGGCTGCATTGTCTCCTGGGTAACGGGAGCAACAGCACCTCTGACTTATGCTATTCTTAGTTTTGTTCCAGTTCTGCCCTGAGTAGGGGCCGAGTGAAGCTAACCCTCTGAATGAAAAGTTTCGCTGCTTCTTTCATAAACACAGCCAGGCATGGTGTAACAGTAGGCTATGTTCTGAGGTATCCTTACCTTCTGCTGTGCTGCTGTAGCAGAGGGCCCACACAGACCTGGATGGTACAGATTTGCCCACATCCAGGCCACACTGTGTGTGCAGGTCGTCATTGAAGGATCATTGTGCAATGGGTGCCTTTATGTAGAAACCTGAATGCTACAAAGTTCTCAGAAGACGCGTGCTGTCGACTGAAGATGTCAGTGCCAGGCTGTGAGACGCCTCTATGAGCCATTGGTTGAGGAGGGAGCAGATGCACCCAAAACAACACAGACTGTTGATGATCGCTGTTGCTTGCGGTTGTGCACCAGATCTATACAGTGAGAGCCTGCTGCTGAAGATGTAATGCACCTTGTTGAAGATGAGGGTGTGAAGATGCAGGACACAGACAAACAAGCAGGACCTGACCTGCAAACTTCCTCCCAGCTGGTCAGTTTTCACAGTGTTGGAAGAGACTATGGAGACGACTGGGGGAAGGGGTAGTCATCAAAGCTACTATCCAGTCGTAAATAGTGAATGCTAATCCCAATGTGCCAGGCAAGATGAGCCTACTAGGGGACATAGTGACATGGAGGCTATGGGGACAACCAGCTGATCTTTGATTGAAATTAAGGCATGCTTTTCTGGCCTCTAGAAATATCAGCAGGTCTTACCTAGATTCTGGCTATTGAAGTGTGAAGACCCACCATGAATTTGGGTGGCACTTTCATGGGCTGGGTCCTGAACTGAATAAAGAGGGCAAACAGCACCAAGGGCCAACATTCGTTTCTCTCTGCTGCCTGACTGTGTGACGAGTTCCCTCAAGCCACTCCTTCTCTGCCATGATGGGCTGTATTCTGGAACCATAAGCCTGGATACACACTTCCTTATGTTTTCTTTGTCGCGTGTCACAGCAATCAGCAAGTGACTAATGAGACGAGGTGAGGTATCTAAGGAGTGGAATGGTGGCTGTCAATGGCTGGGTGTAAGTGAAGAAAACGAAGTTACTGATTAATAGGTATGAAGTCTTAATTATGCAAGGTAAATTCCAAAGAGTGGCTATGTAATGCTGTTCCAATAGTTAATGCTGAGTTGTATACTTACATGATATTAATTTTATATTACCTTATATTTATGTTATATTAGCATGTTAAATTTTATTTTTGGTGTTTTAATATAATTTTATTTATTTTGGGGGGGAGGATTGTAAGGTCTCATGTAACCCAAGCTGACTTTGAACTCATTATATAGCCTTGGGTAACCCTGACTTTGATATTCTTGCTCCCACCTTCAAAATATTGGGATTACAGACAATGCATCTCTACACCCAGGTCACAGGAAAATCTTGTGTATGTATATATGTGTGTATGTATTGTTTGTCTTACATATATGTGTAGGTATGGCATACGCTGGTGTGCACATGTTTGTGTGTAAGCACTTGGCCACCTGTGCCCATGTGCACATGTGGAGGTCAGTCAACGAGCAACCTCTGGTGTTGGTCTTCACTGTCCACATTGGTTTGAGACAGGATCTCTTTTGTTATTCACTATTGTGTGCACCGTGGCCACTGGGGATTCTTCTGTCTCGGGCTCCCATCTTCCTATAGGATTACAAGTGGGCACTACCACCTCTGGCTTTATGTGGGTCCTGAGGATTTGAACTCTGGTGCCCCACAACAAAAATATAAACACCTTAATTATATTTTTTCTTTGACTTATTTTTGAAGTTTCTGTTTCTAGTTGGATTCTGTTGGGATTGGAAAGATTCTGCCTTCAAAAAGATCCTGGTTCTATGAGAGACGTGTTTATAGGAATTTAATAAAGCACAAGGCAGACAGACCAGTTCTTTAGGCAGCAGTGAAACTGACAGCTGTCATGGCGTTTCATGCCACGTAATCCTAAAGCAGACCTGTCACTTCTCACAGTCTCCGTTTACAGCTGACAGCCTTTGGATGAACATTCTGAGTCAATGCCTGAGGACATTTAAAAATAGGATAGTGCTGAGCAGAAGCTAAATATATTGCCAGAATCCTTATGCTGATCAATTATTTATCCATTACAAATGCGAAGATCAAACAGGGGCAGAGGTTATCTATGTTAGCTTGACAAGACTTGACAAGACTAGCAGGAACTACAGACTTTCAAAAGCAAGGCTCCTGATTCCATCATGAGGTATCTAAACAAGGCAGAGAATAGTCCACAGTGGCTCAAGAAATACAATGTATAAGAATTTTATAATTTATATGGAACACTTTAGTCATTTAACCGGAGCATCATCAGGATTCACCAATACAGACATAAACATGCTGTGGTCTGTCACACATGTGCCCAGCTTCTGTCTAATACAGAGGATGAAATCACACTAAATTACCACTATAAATAGCATCCTCTTATCCTTAATCTTCTTGTTCATATAAGAAGATTATACTTTTGGAGGGGTTGTTGTTTTTGTCTTATTGGATGTTTTTAAAGCTTTATTTTTTTTAATTCTAGTCTATGAAGCTGGAGTTGCAGGCAGTTATGAGCATCCCATGTGGGTGCTGTGAACTGAACTTTATGCTGCAAAAGCAGTATTCAGTCTTAAGCACTGAGTCAACTTAGATCTTTTTCAGACAGTATTTCATGTTGCTCAGTCCAGTCACAAAATAAACAAACAAACAAACAAACAAAAAACAAAAAACCACTATGTATCCCAGGATAATCTTGAACTTCCCAAATTCTGAGATTACAGGTGAGTATCACTATACCCAGATCCTTAGTTTTTATTTTTGGTATTTCAAGACAGGGTATCATATAGCATAGACTGGCCTTCAACTTGCTATGTAGCTGTGGAAACCCTAACTCCTCCTACCTCTGCATCCCTGGTGCTGGAATTACAGTACTGCTTATGTGACTACATTCTAATAGACTTAACTTTTCTTTTTCTTTTTCTTTTTTTTTTCTTTTTTTCTTTCTTTTTTTTTTTTTTTTTTTTTTTTTTTTGGTTTTACGAGTCTCAGGGTTTCTCTGTAATGTTTTGGAGGCTGCCGGTCCAGCCCGGCCTCGAACTCACAGAGATCCGCCTGCCTCTGCCTCCCGAGTGCTGGGATTAAAGGCGTGCGCCACCACCGCCAGGCTTAGACTTAACTTTTCATGTGAGTGTAATGTACGTGTGTGTGCATGCTAGTATGTGTTTGGGCACACACAGGGGAGTGAGTGCTCATGTAGGCCCCAAGGTTCCAAGGTTGATGTCCAGAATCAAGAGTGGAGAGTCACCACGTGATCCGAAGAGGTGATGGCACAAGTGTGGCATTCTTGGTAAGAAAAGACCTTATAAAAATATTTATGTATTTCGGGGTGTTTGGGTTTTGCTTGTTTGTTTTGTAGACAGGGACTCACTTCCAGCACAGTACGTAGCCAGAAATGAACTCTGTGCCCTCCTGCCTTCACCTTCCAAGGCTGGGGCTGCAGATATGCACTGCCATACCTAGCTTCAACCCTTTCTTTTAATTTGGGCTTACAATCAGAAGCAAAGCAAATTTACGTTGAATGCTCATATGAGATCTCGGGATCAGGTACTGGTGAGTTTGTCCGTCAGTTTCGGGGTTGCCAGGATTGCCTCTGTGGTGCTGCCTTCTGTCTCGGCCTCCTCACTCACTCACATACTCACTCACTCACGCACTCACACACTCACTCACTCACTCACATACTCACTCACTCACTCACATACTCACTCACTCACATACTCACTCACTCACTCACTCACATACTCACTCACTCACTCACTCACATACTCACGCACTCACTCACTCACTCACATACTCACTCACTCACTCACTCACATACTCACTCACTCACTCACATACTCACTCACTCACATAACTCACTCACGCACTCACTCACTCACATACTCACTCACTCACTCACTCTTCACCCTGAACCACCATAAGGGTGTGGTCCACTCACGCACTCACTCACTCACTCACTCACTCACTCACTCACATACTCACTCACATACTCACTCACTCACTCACATACTCACTCACTCACTCACTCACTCACATACTCACTCACTCACTCACATACTCACTCACTCACATACTCACTCACTCACTCACTCTTCACCCTGAACCACCATAAGGGTGTGGTCACAGCTGCTGGTAGCGATATTTTTATGATTTAACAAATAAAGTTTGCCTGAAGATCAGAGTGCAGGGCTAGGTAACTAATAGTTCATAGAAGCCAGGCAGTGGTGGTACATGCCCTAAATCCCAGCACTGGGGAGACAGAAGCAGACAGATCTCTGTTAATTCAAGGCCACCCTGAGCTGCATGAAATTGATCCAATCTAAAAGAGAAACACAGTTTACACAAAGGTGGTCTTAGCACTTGGGATTCCACGCCTTTAATCCAAGCACTAGGGAGAGTATGAGGCGGGAGGAGACAAGAGCTCAATGCAGTCTGAGGGTTAGTGGAGACAGATGCAGTCTGGAGACCAGTCTGAGGACAGGATCTCCCTTTTGACCTGAGCATTGGTAGAGGTGAGAACTGGCCGCTTTGCATTTCCCATCTTCAGCTTTAACCTTGATGTCTGTCTCTGGGTTTTTATTACCAAGAACCTTTAGAATTCATGCTACAGCTGCTGGTTTCAGGTCTCCGTCCTCTGGCTGCACCATTCTCTGATGAGTATTTGTTTTTATTCTCTTTTTCAGCCCCAAGCACCAATCTGTCTTCTACAGTGCTAAATCATACCTAGCTACACAGTCACCAAAAACTAGTAAGCAAGCCAATCAACAATTTATGGGCATTTGGCTTTACATTTTTAACTTACATTTATTTACTGTTTGCTTGTACATGCCGCAGCATGTATGTGGAGGCCAGAGGACATCATGCAGGAGTGAGTTTTCTCGTTCCACATGTGGCTTCAATGGATCAAACTCGGGTCCTCAGACTGGGCAGCAGGTGCCTTCACCAGCTTAGCCATCTTGCCACATTCTACATTTGCTTTTTAACTTGCTTTGTCTCGCATGCAAAGATCTACTGTGTATTGTGTACATGTCCGTGTGTATGTGTGTGTGTGTGTGTGTGAGAGAGAGAGAGGGGGGGGTTGATGAGAATGGCCCCCACAGGCTTTTATGTTTGGATACTTGGTTCCCAGTTGGTTCGACTTTTTAGGGGATTAGGAAATGTGGTTGCAGGAGGTGTGTCACTGGGGGATGGAGCTTTGAACTTTCAGAAGACCCATGTCATTCCCAGTGTGTTCTCTCTGCCTCCTGCTTGAGGATCAAGATGTGAACTATCAGCTGTTCCTGTCACCATGTCTCCACTCTGCCATCATGGACTCTAATTTCAATTCATAAGTCAGATAAATGCTGTCTTCTATAAGTTGTCTTGGCCATGCTGTTTTGTCCTAACAATAGAAACGTAACTAAGGCTGAGGGAGTACATGTGTGTGAAGATCAGATGACAACATTTAGGGGTCAGTTCTCCCTTTCCACTACTGTATTTATTTGTGTACTTGTGTATATGTGGGGGTGGGGGTGCTCCCAAGCCACAGCGCACAAGTCGTCAGAGGATAACTTTCAGGAGACTTCTCTCCTGCCACTGGAGGTCTGGGGATTAAACGCAGGCCGTCAGTCCTGGTGGAAGGTGCCTTTATCTGCTACGAAACTTAAATATGTTGTCAATGTTTTCTAAACATTTTATGAGAAGAAAAGCTAAGTGTAGTGGTGCAGGCCTTTAATCCCAAAACTTGGGAGGCAGAGTCAGGTGGATCTGAGCTCAAAGTCAGCCTGCTCTACAGAGAGTTCCGGACAGTGAGGGCTACACAGAGAAACCCTGTTTTGAATAAAAACAACACCAAAAATTATGAGAGGAAGTCTTTGATTCAAGGAAATATACACTGACAATTTTAGATATTTTTCCTAAAGATATTTGCATTGGTATGACATGATTCCAAATTAGTTTACTCAAATTCAACAGAAAGAAATGAAAGGTCAGCCTAAAAGTTGAATGTTGGGCTTTGCATCTGTAAGGTTCGAAGCAATCAGATCAAGAAGGGTGATGCCATAGGAGAGCAGAATGGTCCTGGAATGAGCCAAACACTTGCTATCAGCTCCGCTCTCCCTCTGTGATCCTGGACCAGTTGTCAAACTGCTGGGAGAAAACACCAAATCCCTTGTGGTGGTTTGAATGAAAATGTCTCCCACAGGCTCTAGGTTTGAACACTTGATTCCCAGTTTGGTGGCACTGTTTGGGGAGGTCTAGCAGGTGTGTCCTTGCTGGAAGAAGTACGGTGCTGGAGGTGGGCTTTTAGGTTTAAAGACATCACATCTTAAGAGCACTGTGGTTACCACATGTGGCTCAAAACATCTGTAACTCCAGAGGATTCCAGAGGATCCAACAGGCTCACACGCAGGGTACATACATGCACACAGGCAAGACATTTATACATGTAAAGCAAATAAATCTTAAAAAGGCTCTCTATCCCCAGCTTGCTCTCTCTGCTTCTTGCTTACATTCAAGATGTGAGCCTGCAGCTTCCTGCTCCCTTGCCTTTGTTCCGTCCGCCGGTAGGCCTCTGGAATTAGGAGCCCAAGATAAGTCCTTCTTCTACAAGTTTCCTTGGTCATGGTGTTTTATCGTAGCAATAGAAAAGTGACTAATGTGGCCTTTATTTTCTCCTCTGTGAAGTGAGGCATTTGAACTAGATGACATTTTTGAAAGTGAACCATATGCCAGATGCTTATGTCTCCATATAACCCTTGCTGTAGGGTATCCATAATTTCTATTTTTTAATTTAAAAAGTATCTTATGTGTGATGTATGGACATTGCCACACTGTGGGGTTGGTTCTCTGCTTCCACCTTTACAAGGTTTCGGGGATTAAACTCATATTCTCAGGCTTGGGATACAGGTGTTTTGGGTTTTGAGCAGTTTTTTTTTTCTGTTTGTTTTTCTTAAGACACCTCAATGGCTTGTTTTTATGACTTATAAAACCCTCATTTTGTGACAATGCTGTAGCTCAGAAAGGTTCAGCTCTTGTAGTTTCATCACTGAAAAGAACCAGAACTGACTTAGCTGGGCGTGATCATAAAAGTCTCTAGTTTCTGTTCTCAGGAGGTGATGACAGCAGGATCATAAGTCCCAGGCCATCCTGGGCTACAATGTAATACCCTGTCTCAAAACCAGACAAACATAACTAACCTCATTGCTGAGCCCAAGCCTCCTAATGAGTTGACTTGCTTCCAGCTGATTCAAAGGCCTTTTATAAGTCTACATTCTGCGATTATTTCCATCTTGCTTTGTTTTGTTTTCTGAGTCAGATCTTGCTACACAGTCCTGTTTGTCTGGCTGGGCTTCTGGAAGCCTGCCTTATTTCTGGACTTCCCTCTACATGACTCAGCAAGTCCCATTGTTTCAGATTTTTAAAATTATTTTTATGTGTGGGTGTTTTGCCTATGTGTATGTCTGTGTACCATGTGCACAGTACTCACAGAGCCCAGAAGAGGCTGTTGGGTCCCCTGGAACTAGAGTTAAGTTGTGAGCTTCCATGTGGGTGCTGGGAATGGAACCCAGGCTCTCTAGAAGAATAGCCAGTGGTCTCGACTGCTGAGCCAGCTCCTATCCCGTTTATTGTTAACAACAGACAGAGGCAGCATCTTCTGTAATTTGCAGCCATGCACACTGTGATTTATTTATGAAGCAGCATTAGCATTGCCTATGAAAGCCATAAGCCCATGCTATTCCATGGACTAGTAATGAGAACTGAAGGACAGAGAGACGAAAAGTATGAATCTGGGCTTTTCTAACCCAGAAGTTGATTTGTCACCTTGAGGTTGATGGCCAGAACTACTACAGTCACCCATCACTTAGCTCTGGAAGACAGTCTAGGGGTGTGTGATAATAAGCACGTGGGCTTACACGAGCTTGGGAGAGAAAAGCTGTGTGATGGGGTAGTGCGGTGACTATGGGATATTACTGA